TAATACAACATTGAAGTGGCTAGTTGATTTTTTCAAACCAAAAATCCAGACAGCAATATGGCTCCAGAAACTTCAGGAGTACAATTTTAACATCATACATCACCCTGCATAGAACCATGAAAATACAGATGCATTATCCTAAAAGAGTATGTTTAATGAATAATCTAAACACTGTGATTAGAGAGAAATACAAGGTAGTAAAGACAACCAACCTAAAATCCAGCATTGTATAATCCAAGAAGGAACATATACAAGTGATAGCGAGGAACCAATTTGCTTTGACACTCAAATAAAAGATTCTCAGGCAAAAAATGCGAGTTTTAAACTAGTTAATCAGTAGATCAGTAAAACCCTCGTGGCAAACATATGCTCCATTCAGCCCAAAGACAAAGATATACTGGGCATGGTGTGATTCATTATGTTTACAAGAGGGCTTGTTATTTCGATAATGAAAAGATATCAGTAGACAGAAACAACAAATACAGTTAGTACTTTCCCAGTCTCCACATTCCAAAGTACTCTGTCGTCTCCTCAACCTTCCAACAGCTGAAAACGTACGTATTAAGTAGGTACTGGAGAGAGTAAAAGAATGATTCAACTGGGTTTGGTGCCAGGGGCCTGTAGAAAATTGGTGTAAATCACATGAACTATGCTTTGAGCAAAAAGGTCCATAAAATAAACAGCATGGGCAGATACAGCAGTATTGTATTTGAGCACCACTTGAGACTTGTTGTCAATTTGTTTAGTTCTCTGCCACAGAGTAACAGTGGAAAAACACATCATGGTTGTGATAGACTATCTCACGAAATGGCCAGAAGTACATGTTGTTCATAATCAGGAAGCAGAAACTCTGGCAAAGAAACTTGTTAATGTTTCAAGACTTGATGTGCACATGGAACATCACTCAGATCAATGATGGAACTTTGAATTGACCTTCTTTGCAGAAATGTATCAGATCCTTGGAATTAAAAAAGACCAGGCCAACAGCCTTTCATTCATCATCCAATGGCATGGTGGATAGATTCAACTAATGCTTTTATATCATTTTATCAGATGAACATCAGAAAACGTGGGATCAGGATCTTCCACTTCTACTTAACAAGTTATTGAATGGTAGGACATAAAGCTAAATGTAACATATTATCATCACTGATGTTTGGAGAGAACTTAAAATGTCATTGAATCATCTGTACTCACAACTAGAGGATAGTCACTTAGCAGTTAAACACATAATATGCAGATAGACTAAAGAATTTATGTCATACATGACTTCATCTTGGAAAGGATTTAATCAGCTAATGATAAAATGAAAAGTTGTTGTGATTTTAATGCCGATCAGACTGGATTTTACTAAGGTGACATGGTATGGCTATACAATTCCTGCTGCAAGAGAAGATGAACTCCAAAGTTAAGCAGATGTTGGGAAAGGCCATGAGTTGTACTAAAAATTAGTGACGTGGTTTATAGAATCCAGAAGGACATGTTATCTTTACAAGTATGTCAGTGAGAAAAAGGCAAGCTGGGTAACTTCAGAGAAAAAACTTTGTCATTGGAAAGTGAAAAATCAGCCTGATGAAGATCCCAGAGTTCCTATTGAGACCACTTTCAGAGGATCACCAAGAATAGAACCACCAATGGATTCATTTGACCACCTACCTTGGGACACCCCCAGTGACAGAACAGCAAATGATTGAAAAAGACAAGAGATCATCCCATTTCTATAACATAATCCTAAAAAAAAAGTGAGTTAGTTAGCATATTTATTATCAAGCAATTAGCAAGAAAATTCTGCAAGTATATTTATTAGTAAGTTAGGGATAGTGTCATTACTCTCTGAATTTCTGTTGAAATGTTGGTGAAATTATGCTTATAAATGAACATAGCCTGTACTGTAGCAAATATTATTTAAGAAATAGATTAATTTGTTATCATTATGTATGGGACTGGTCATTATCTTTACTGAATAATCCAAAAAAACCACCCAACGATATAACATATTACAACAACATATATTTATACCATAAATGTAACATTTGTTTCTAAGGAAAACTTATAGTACATAGTTTGATATTATCTAATCCTGTCCTACTGGCAAGTCCAGCCTAGTGTGTAACTGGATACCCCCCCCCCCCATACCATTTCCACTTAAACTTTTCAATACAACTTTTATATAATTAAAATAGAAATGACATATGCAGGTATAAGTTACCTGATACATAAGGAATGCTTTATAAATTTTTGTAATTTTTTTCCATGCATGGTTTCTGAAATTTGCATATGGTACATATGTGTCCAATAGAATTTGTTGGGTAATATGAGTCTTGGCAGCTATTTATGCAAACATGTTTTATAGACATATAGTTTTATTTGTCCATTTATGAAAAAAATAAAAAAATATGTAAATCACTCATAAAATATAGTGCAGGAATGCTATGTTAAAAATTTTGTTATTGGATATATGGGTCCCATCATTCCTGCAAAAACATACACTGAGACAAATATAGTCCATTAGTACAGAAAGTGTTAAAGCGAGTTCCTTGATCCCTGGTTGCTCTAGGGTACGCTACTCCTCATGAAAATATTGAACTCGCCAGTGTTTATCATCCATGTAAATAATACTAGGTTATCAAGAAATTATTGTTGCGTTTTGGAACACTTTCATTAACCCCCCCCCACCAAAAGTACATCACGTATAATAGTTAAATGAACTGCCTAAATGTCATATTAGTGTAACCTATATAATGTGTAAAGTTTAGTATACTCTAATCCCTTATAGTGATGGCACATGACAAGGCACACATTCAAAATGTAATGCTGTATGAATACAATGCCTCTGAAGCCACAAAGAATACCAAAGAAGTTTATGGAAATGTTTTGAACATTCGTAAGTGTCAACGATGGTTCAGAAAATTTTGTTCAGGTGACTTTAGCCTTAAAAACTGTGATGGCAGGGGGCTGACATGTTGGAATTGATATTGATGCTCTGAGACGCTGGTTGAGTCTAACCAAAGGCAACACACTCGTGAAATGGCCCTGAAATTGCATGTCTCTTGTGAAACAATACATAAACATCTAAGGAATATGAAAAAACTCCATAAAGAATGTGTTTGGGTGCCTCACTAACTCTCCAATGATCGTTGTTTCCAACGAGCAATTGCTTCGTCTCTTCTGGCACGTAATGCGCGTGAACCATTTTTGGACAGAATTGTCATCGGTGATGAAAATTGGATTCTCTATGTAAATATTAAATGCCAAAAACAATGGCTTAGTCCAAGCCAAAAACCACTTCTGACCCCAAAACCTGGACTCCATCCACAGAAAGTGATGCTTTGCACTTGGTGGGACATCAAAGGAGAAATTCATTTCGAACTCTTCAATCCACAGCAAACTGTCAATGCAGAGATCTATAGTCATCAACTGGAATGTTTAAATCAAGCTCTTCATTAGAAATGCCTTTCAGTCCTCAATCGGAAAGGTGTTCTTCTCTACGACAATGCACATCCACATGTGGCATGTTTGACACAATGCAACATTATGGATTGGGTTGGGAAGTTCTCCCCCACCCACCATATTCTCCAGATATGGCTCCATCAGATTACCATATTTTCGTTCACTGCAACACCATCTTAATGGGAAAACGTATGCAAATGTGGAAGGTGTTAAAGAGGACATCAACATGTTTTTCGTT